TTGCTGCCTGCCATTCTAGAGACACGCCATTAGAGGGCAGGTTGACCTCATTCTTCAGCCCAGTTAAGTGGGAAAACCTCTTACTTGCAGAATTAAGCAACAAGATCCTTTTTTTTTTAAAAAAAAAAGATTTTTCTAGCTTTAATTTTTGGGATAAAGAGGGCAGTCTGCTTCATTCTTTTATTTTGGCCCGAGCCTATACAATATTTGAGCTTATTTGGCCACTACACTGTCTGCCTGGAGATCTTTGTGTGTGGGCTTCTTGTATTTTTGGAATAGCTTAATCAAAAACAATTAGAAATAAAAAATAGAATTAGCATCAAAACAAAAAAGCAAGTTATCTTAAAGTGCATCTTAAAATAACTCACAAAATAAAAGAAAATTTGCCAGTTGGGGAAGAACTATCATTGGATATTAGAAGAATGTCAGATTAAAGGTACAGGAGAAAAAGAAACATGTTTATTTTAATGTCAGATTGACCACTTTCTGTTTATTTTGGTATCTGCTGCCTATAACAGGATATTTGTTGCTTTATTGTAAAGTCAACCACAAAATAATTTATTTTTCTATAGAAATAAGATGATGAAGCTTTCAATAATATGTCTTTCCTTGGGCATGGTAGCAAATATGTTCTGTTCAGGTTAGGTGCAATATTTTGAAATGTGTATAGCTGGCCTGCTTTGTATCCTAGGTATTCCCAAGCCAAGACTATATCAAATATGCAATGCTTTTCTTGAAGTGAAGTGACTTTGAACAGAATATTTTCAAACTGCTTTGGACTCAGCATTAGCTGAGGAGAAAATCTCACCAGAGAATGAAATAAAAAAAGAAACAAGAGCTTAAATAAATGCTTCCAGGGACAGATATACATAAATAGACTCTATATAATTTGACTTAGATCCTTTCTCATATCATTCAATAATCAACATGGTTTTGTAACCAAGCAAACTTGCAACAAGAAATAGTAGCTTATCTGTCTTATGTTTCCAAACAGCATCAGTCCTCATGTGTAAGTTTCTATAGAGATCCAAGGATGAACACTTTCAGTAGTGTCTAAGAGATTGCAATTTTAGAAAGTCTGACATGAAGATATAGCAATAGCAATAGCAGACTTATATACCGCTTCACAGAGTTTTACAGAGTAGTTTACAGAGTCAGCATATTGCCCTCAACAATCTGGGTCCTCGTTTGACCAACCTTGAAAGGATGGAAGGCCGAGTCAACCTTGAGCCTGGTGAGATTTGAACTGCCAAACTGCAGCTAGCAGTCAGATGAAGTAGTCTGCATTACTGCACTCTAACCACTGCACCACCACACATAAGTTGGCGAAGTTTGAAGAGCCCTGCTTTAAATTATATTTCAACTCTTGTAGTTTCTTGATAGAGGCCAAAATGTATGTTGGCACACACAAACACTTTCAGTACTAGTAAAAAAACATTCCAGTGGATAATGAAGGTGATAGAACTTTTCACCGTATTCTTAACAAAGCAAAACTTAATAAACTGGTTTCCAAACAATACATAATTGTCTATGTATAAACTTGCAACATTATATGATTTTATGACTTGGTCTCTAATTAGTTGAGATTCCTCATGTGACGAGCCAGAGTTAGATTTTCCCATCTTCACTGGTTTTGAATGTATAGCCAATCAGACTTACAGTATTTCACCTATGCTTCAGAAAACTGTGTATTAGTGCTCCGTTGAAGCCTGTCACATGTTTTCATTCTGCAGGGTTTTTTTACAAATATTTCTCATCATATTTTTTTCCATGCAAACAAAGGCAAAAGTCACAATAACACCAAGAGAGAAGCTTCAAAGAAAGCTTTGATCTTTACTCCAAGTCTGCTAAGTTATTAAAGACTCATCTCCATTTGTCAAGTTACACTTCATCCATGAACAATGTTGTTATGAAGACATTATTCTCTTTTATACACACAGAGAGAGAATACTAATAGTATGCAGTGCCTACTTGTTTCTTTGTATGACATGAACATTTGCCTCCAAATGTTATATATTGCTGTGATCCCTAAAACTGGTTAATCTGGCTTCAGGCAACTGAGCATTGTAATGATTTATTTATTTCTAACAAGAACATAAACAATAACCTATATTGAACAATGGATGATGATCTCACTTGCTAGATTCCTAGAACTATTATTTGGAGAAAGGATAATGAAGAAAGAATAACACATGTTTCTTTGAATTACTGTAACTGCAAAGCGCCATGTCATTAATTGGATGGATTTATAATTGTAGTCTCAAGCTGGCCATAAAGACACCACTACTGAATAACATTAAAACACATGGTCTGGGATATTTTTCCACCAAACATTAAAGCTGTCTAGTGTCATCGGCCTGGCATTGAGAAGATGATGATTGTCAGCTCATATGTGGGGACACTTGTTTGCTACGTCCTTCCTCTCTGTTGAGGACAGTCGCTTTGTCTCTACATTCTTCAGAGGTTCTCTCATCACCGCAGAAACAAGATCAGCGTGGGCTTCTGTTGTTGTTCCAATTGCTGGATTGAAGCCAGCATGTCAACTTCTGAATGGAGTGGACTGGTTTATAAGCGGCTTCCTCTTCCACTCTGGAAAGATAAAACACTCAGTTTAAATTCCAACCCTGTCTGGGAAAGTGTGGCCAAACAAAGAGGCAGACGGCCAAATTAGACATGACCATGGAAGAAAATTGATCTTCTAATTTGTTTTAAACTGAAAAAGAGCCAGAGAAAGCGGCCAATGGGAGTGGAAGAGCAGGGGTGGGGATGGGGGCAGGAAGACTGTTTCATTCCTTCCACTTTGGTCATTTTGTGTTTCAACCAGGCAAAAGAGCTCTATATTTTTTCATTCTTACAAAGGAAATAATGGAGATTTGATACATCACAGACAGCATGTTCATATGGGTAGCTTCTCATTAAAACACTGCATGAATCCTCTTCACCATTTTTTATTTGACTCATCTTTTCCATATTTTTCCAGATAATGGATGCTGATATACAGCATATTACAGAAGTGTGTATACCCCCTCACATATTTAAGTATATCTTTTCATGTGAAACACTGAATAAATGACACTTGGCTACAATGTAAAGTAGTGAGCATACAGCTTGTATAACAGTGTAAATGTGCTGTTCCCTCAAATAACGCAACACACAGCCATTAATGTCTAAACCACTGAACAGATATACTTAAATGTGTATATTGCATATATATATTATATATTGTATAGTATATTGTAAATATACTTAAACATATTTACAAAATGTGAGGGGCTGTACTCACATCTGTGATATACTGTATTTATTCTTTGTCTGATATAATCTGAAAAATGAATATTTTACTCAAATGAATATTTTACTCAGCCTTCTCCAACATAATACCCTTCATATGTGTTGGAACTAGAACATCCAGAATTCCCAGCAAGGATGACTGTAATAGTACTAAGACATCTGTTCAAGTTTTTTGGAACTTCAGAAACTTCCTGAGTAAATCCATCAACAAGCAACTAGAAATTGTGCCAAGTGTTTGTCATCATTTTAAGCCTTTTCACACAGTGACTGAGAGCATCATTCAGTTCTTACTGTGGTGACATGTTTTCCTTTGGAATAGTATGCATTACTGTAGTGACATGCTGTGAAATAGGAGAATACTGTTTCCATGTTTAGAACTAGTTAATCAAATGCATATAAACATGTGAACATTCCAGGGGCATATGGGTTGCCAATTTCCTATAGATCTTCCTTCCCAGAGTTAATATAATACGTTGTTATTTTCTAGTACTAATCTAGTCTGGACTGGTCTAATGTCCAAAGCAGAGTTGGAGGTTCTATGGCATTTTCTAGGCATGGTGCTTTGGGGACTTAAGAATCAACAGTCAAATATTTTGAACCAATCTGTTTAAAATATAAACTATAAATCAATAGGGGGAGACACAATGGGTCAATTATCGACCCCGAAGATGACATGTGTATAGCCATGTTTTACTGTAACCTATATAATCTTTTTCTATTAGGTTTTAAGTTTGTAGTAACTGAATTTAGTAAATAACTCAGGTTCACCACTTTCTAACTGTTGACAGAGGGTTGTAAAGATAAAAGAGGAAATGGTATGTCTAGGTGGAAATCCTTTTCTGTGGGAAGAGTGATGATGCCTAACCTGGAGGAAGGTGGAGTTTTGGAATCACCAGACTGGTGGACTGAGAATTGATTGGAAATTGTCACTCGGGGGGGAGTTTCAAACTTTTGCTTTTATTGGGTGTAATTCCGGATCCGGTTCAGAGTCAGAATTACACCAAATCCGTGCCAATTTAATGTGTTCCTAATAAATGGATTTGAAAAGGAAGATGGATGCCTTGGACTTTAGTTTTTGGGACGTGTTATTTGGGGGCTTGTCATCAATATTATTTGGTCAGGTTGGTGTCCATGACATTGCTTCAAGATGCCAGTATCTCCTCCTATTTTTCTCCAGCCCCCTTTCTATCCAACTCTGATATGTTCTGTTCTGTCAGTTTCATAATGCGAACTGGAGCTCCATCATCTCCTATGTCCTACCTTCTTTGGTTGGGAACAGTGCGTTTGAAGAGCAGTAAGAATGTTTTGATTCTCAACAGGGGTGCTACAACAGAGGCACATTGAGTACTTGCACAGTAAATTTAGTTTCAATGCTTCATACTCTACATTTTTCCCCTACAGGGAACCTGTGAAGTGTACACCATTTCAGGCAACGCTAGATTCCTTTGGTCAAGTAACAACAAAATCACCTCCTTAAACAAAATAGCCCACTTCAAATACAGCCAGGTAGTTTAAGCTGCATCAATAAATCATGCTGCCAAATTGGGGGTCATGAAAGGGCCTTTGCTATTCTGGGATTCAATTGCTTACAGTCTTTTGCAGTCAAAATGCTGGTATTGATTTTGTTGGAAGAATTTATACCTAACATAAGGAGATGCTATTCTTGACATGCTATTCTGCCTTTTATCACACAGCTTAGTGGTTCACAATGTGTGTATGTAGACAAGAGACTGAGATGGATTATAGTACCAGTTCACAGCTTCAGCAAAACAAAAAACAAAAAAAAACAGTTTAGCAAAAAAATCAGAACAAAGCTTATTAAAAGGCACAAGATTTCATGACTTTCAGCTTACAGGTAATACCGTATTTTTCGGAGTATAAGACGCACCAAGGTTTTGAAGAGGCAAATTTTTAAAAAAAGTTTTTGCACTCTGCGGACCTCCCCAAAACAGTCCATTTTTTGCAAAAATGGGCCCGTTTCCCCCCCCCCCAAAAGGGCGTGCATAGCTTTTGGGAGCCTTGCAGAGTGCTCCTAGGGGCGCGGGGGAGGGCGGAAACGAGCAAAAAAAATGGCCCGTTTTTCTCTCATTTCTGCCCTCCCCAGCCCCCAGGAGCACTCTGCAAGGCTCCTAAAGGTTCTGCACGGTCATTTTGGTGAAGGGGCGGGGTTTTGGGAGGCAAAAATGCTGTATTCAGTGTATAAGATGCACCCAGATTTTCCCTCTTTTTTGAGGGAAAAAGGTGCATCTTATACTCTGAAAAATACGGTACTTGATTTATGGTCACAATTGACACCAGAATTTCTGTTGCTTACCAATGTGGTTGTTAAGTGAATTGTGTCTGATCTTACAGCCCTTTTTTGCCATGGTTTTAATAAGTATATAGATCTTTTTTCTTTGATGCATGTCTATGTGCTGACTTTGGATGGCACTTCTGTGTCCCCAGGGAAAAACTCTGTATTGTGAAAGGATTTTCTCTGTCTACTATTAATTGGTCCAGGTTAATTAATTTAATTATTAGTGAAGGAAGCAGATTAGCAATCTTTGCAACATTGTATGGACTTTGTTTTATGTGGGATTCCCACAGGGGTGGAAAATGGCAACACGATTTTCTCCACACAATTTTAAAAGTCCCGGAGGGGTCTAAAATTTTAAGAAAGCCTGTTCCTTACCATGTTGCCTATTCCCGTGAGAGCTGGGCAGGGTCCAAGGGTGCACAAGCGCTTTTGACTTTCAAGCCTGCAGTAGGGATTCTTGTTAGACACCCGTGTGGAAATCCCAATGCCACAGGTGGTGGAGCAGGCAGACCACTCAGTGCTCCAGTCTTCACACAAATTGGGGAAAGCCATCCCAGTTAACCTTTCTGGAACAAAACCATGGAAAAGAAGAAGAAAGGCTGGGTATTAAAAATTGGCATGCATGGTCATAACAGCTTCCAGAGACATGGAGTGGCTACAACCAGAGCAAGTTATAGAACCTACTGGTAAGAACAAGCCAAACTTCAGGGCATCAGTTTTCAAGGACTAGATTGATTAACTGGTACAGTTTTATGGGGGATCAAAGTTGTGATTTCAACCTGGCTTGGGAATAGTTAAGTCAGTATAGTTAAGTCAGTATATTTTGTTTCATGATTCAGTATACCAAACTACATACATACTGATGAATTCTATATAACTTAAATTTATGAACAAAATGCACCTTACAAATAATAACATTATCTCTATAACCATTTTGTAAGACCAGCTGTTCATTTTTCGTGGTCTAGACCTTAAACATAACATATATACCAGTTGCCTAAGAACCATGGGGGCCTCACAGGGTCTTAAAAAGGTACGGAGAGCCATATGAAGCCCATGGGACACAGGTTGCCTGTCCTATACCTATAAGATTTTCCTTTTGGAAAGCATCTCTTGCCTTCCAGAAGCAAGGTTGGATTTTGAATGTGTGTGACATTTTTAGCTCTAAAAAAAAGTAAAGTCTTCTCTGAGTCAAGCATGACTCCTGATGACAAATTCATGCAGTTTTTATGGCATTATACAAATGATTTGTCATTGCCTCTTTCCAGAATGTTTTTTTCAATTTCCCAGTTGTGTCTCTAGGTCTAACTACCCAGATGGTTCCCCATCATTTTCCCTGAAAATGAGACCTAACCTGAAAATAGGCGCTGACATGTTTTCTGCGCATGCACCCAATATAAGCCCTACCACATGCACACCGGCTTATCTCAGGTTCCCACAGCCAGGCCATCCACACCTCAACACTTGTCTTGCCTTATGGCCATGACACTGGCACCTCCTGCTCCGTTGCGGCTGTGAGCAAGCAGAAGAAGTGGGCCAGCAGCTAGGGTTCTTGCAGAACAGAGTTGTTGGGGCTGCCACAGTTGTTGGAGCTGTTGGAACTGCAAGTTGAAGCAGTTATTGGGGCATGGATGACCTGGCTACAGGCACCCTGAGGTAAGCCAGTGCAGGGCATATGGATCAGCTCCACCACCACCACCACCTCGCGGTGGTGGCACTCAAAAGAAATAAAACATCCCTTGAAAATAATCCCTAGTGCTTATTTCGGAGCCTAAAAGGAAATAAGACCAGGTCTTATTTTGGGGGAAACACAAAATTGACCCTGCTTCACTTTCAGGATCAATCAAGATGCTGTCATGTACCATGTAATGTACAGAAGCCTTGTGTGACACATAGTTTGCAGGTTGCATGGAGCCCGCTAAGCAATCTTGTGTGGCCCACTGATTTTTTAAAAAAAACAAAAGATATACCGCAAACCACCTTCAGTGCCTCCAGGGCTCATCACCACTATCACTGGCACCTCTCTACTAGCTGCCAAAGAGCTGGTTGGTATGCCAGGTACTCATTTGATGATCACAATGCTTTTTAATTTATTAATTTAGCAATTTCCTCTCTACAGGTAGTACAGTTATGGTCTAATACAGGTAGTTCTCACTTATTGACTGTAATGTGGACCAGCAACTCCATCGCCAAGCAATGCAACTGTTAAGTGAAAAGTAATGTATCCACATCAGACTCAGGGCAGTAGTTTTGCTGCAGCCATTAAGTCTCTGTGGGTCATTAAGCATGACATGGTGTGACCATGACTTGCAACTTCCTACTGGTTTCTGCACTGTCAAAAGCTGGCTATGAAGCATGCAAATAGTGATCAGGTGACCATGGGATGCTGCAACTCTTGTAAATATGTGCCAGAATATTACAAAGCACCCAATGTGTCCCAGTTGCAATCACACAATGTGGGTACACTATGACAGCTACAAATTTAAGGGTCAATCATAAAGCTACTGCATCAGTGCCATTGTTAACGTTGAATGGTTGCTAAGACTGTTGGTAAGCAAGAACTACCTGTGGATGGATATAATTCATCCACATCCTCAGACCTTCTTATCCTCTAATGTCTCAGAACATTGTTCTGTTCAAAACCAACCATAGTATCTTTCTTGACCTTGAAATGCAGAAAATACTTCTGAGGTGCTTTGAGTTAGTTCAACTGACAAATGGGAGAGTACAAAAAGGACATTCACAGGTTTAGGGCTGGCTCTCATGCTGAAGGAAGGACTAAAACTCACAGTTTCAGAGTTTCGAGTCCAGCACATTAACCACTACAATAAGCTGAAAGTTTAAAAAGAGCTTGTGTTTTAAGCCAGACTGGCAAATAATTTCACAAAGTGTATTAGAATGAAAAACAATTTATTCAATTGATGAAAGCTGAGGAAAAAGATGGACTTTGTCCAGGGGTGGGCTGCTGGGGGTTCGCAGGGTTTCAGGAGAATCTCTAGCTAAGATTCTGTGCAGTTCAGAGAACCCCCAAATCCCACTCCTGGCTGGCCCTGCCCTGCCCTGCCCTCCCCTCCCAGGAGTCCCCATGAGGCCTGTTTTGGATGCAGGTAAGTGCAGGGTGCACACAGAGGCTCGGGGAGAGTGAAAAACAGGTCTACCAGACGTTCAGGCCCATTTCCGGTCTCCAGATGGCCTCCAGAACCTGGGGAGGCCATTTTTGCCATCCTGGAGGCTCCAGGAAAGCCTCCAGAGCCCAGGGAGACCAAAAACACCCCCACCCCCTGCCCTGACTAGGCCACACCCACCCAGCAACCAGGCAAAGAACCCCTTGCAAAAATTTTGGAAGTCCACTCCTCCCTCTGTCCAATCTTCAGCAACTCATGGAGGAAAAGACTGGGATATTCAGTGGCTCTTCATTCATCTGAATGGAGTTCCAGGCACACTTGGTTCCAACCACCAAGGTTTTACCAATGAAAAGACACTGAAAAGGGGTGTCAGGATCTATGGATTTTACCTGCCATGTTGTCTTGCAAGATCTGTCTGGGTTCTCTGTCACAAATCCATTCTTGACAACACTTCCCTGGGATTTCCACACGCCTTGGGTATGGGCAATCTGGGGTGGGGAGACGAACATCCTCACTGCAGAGGGGAACACATATAAATCCTCCTCCTGAGCAGCGACATTGGAGCTTACAACTTGGCTGGAATACTTCTCCATCTTGATAGATCTTTCCATTTACTTCACAACTGTCTTGGTCATCTTCTTCATCTGCAGCCAACATTGGGAACCAATGAGATAAATCAAATGGAAATATTTAGAACTCAGACAGAATTCACACCTAATATTAACACTGGACTGTGATTATTTCACAGTCTGAAAGAGTACCTGTAGCCTTAAGTAACGAATATTGAAATGGGATCTGATGTTACTATTTAATACACAAAGGATCATCACACAGAAGGTTACCTGTTCTTTATTATCCATGGGTGTAACATGTAATAAACAGGTTATCTGAGGGACTGTTTCTTGCAAGTCACATCTACATGACCCACTAGAGTGGGGAAGCAAGGAATGTTATCGGTCCCATCCCCTAGGGAGATACACCTGTGGGACCCAGAAGAAGGGCCTTCTCCATGGTGGGTCCTTCTCTCTGGAACATCATTCCCCAAAAGATTGGAATGGCCCCCACTCTAGCACTCTTCCGGAAGGTACTGAAGATCTGGTTCTGCCAGCGGGCCTGGAGAGAACCCAGAGTGGGATGAAGCTCATTCAATGCCTTGTGTGATGTGTTGACGCCAGGGTGAGGGGTTGGTGATTATTATATTATTTTATTATTTATGTTCTTTTATTAGTTTTATTATTTATATATGAGGCTTTTATATCCCTGTAAGTGCCTTGAGTTGCCATGTGCGAATAGGCATCAATATAAATTTCCTCATGAATAAATAAATTAATTAATTTCCTCATAAATAAATAAATTTCCCCATAAACAAACAAACAAACAAACATAATTATAAATAAAGAGCCAGTTTGGTCTAGTGATTAAGGCACCTGGCTAGAAAGAAGGCGCCCTTGAGTTCTAGTCCCACTTTAGCCAGCAGGGTCTTTGGGCCAGTCATTCTCTATCTCAGCCCAACTCACCTCACAGAGTTGTTGGGAGGAAAATAGGAGGAGAAAAGTGTGTTGGATATATTCAATACCTTCAGTTAGTTGTACAAATAGTAAAAGCGGGATATAAATAAACAATCAAACAAGCAAAATAAGCTACAGAAAGTAAGGTTCTAAGTGAATGTTAACAAAAGCTTTGCAAAGATGAAATACGTTTTATAGTACAACTAGCTACCCAGAAAGATGGTGCGCTCCTTTTTACTGAAATTGCAGACAACTATCTATTTCCAGTAGTTTAATTTGAATTCTTGCATTATGTATTGGATGGAATTCAATGGCTGAAATGGCCCTTCCAACTCTACAGCTTATATCTATAGGTCAAACACTAGATCACTGGGAAGACACTGGCGGTTTTATCATGGTAGAAGAAGAAATCACAATGAGACTCAGGAATAAGAGAGAAGAATAAGGGACTGAAGAGAGGAGACACCTCAGAGGAGAGCCCATAGATCAGTGTTTCTCAACCTTGGCGACTTTAAGTCCTGTGAACTTCAACTCCCAGAATTCCCCAGCCAGCATAGCTGGCTGGGGAATTCTGGGAGTTGAAGTCCACAGGACTTAAAGTCGCCAAGGTTGAGAAACACTGCCATAGATGAAAAAGAAAGGTATCATAGGCATTGTAGACTGAGTCAGGCCTAGAGACTAACAAACAATTTAATCAGCAATTATCTGAGGTTTTACTGTTATTGTAAAACCTATATCGTTGTTACAGGAAAGAGCAATAATAATATTTATCTTTGACTAGTAAGGACCATATCTTTGCTAGATCAAATCATTTGTCTACAAAAGAAATCTAGTGATACCATCTACTTTCTCTCACTTTTAATGAAAGACAAACTATGAAACATATCTGCATAAGACTCTGATATATTATTTTTAATGAGGACAGAAAATATTTGGTTATTTGTCTCTTATTGTTTCTAAGAAGCCTTCAATGTATCAGGATAGGGTAGGGTAGGATAAAATAGGATATGATAGGACAGAACAGAACAGGAGAGGATGGGATTTTACTTTGTGGGGAATTAATATTTGTTTACATTTCTGCCAGCTGACTAGCACTCTCCAAGTGAGATAGGAAATTGAAGCATATTTGCCAAGCTTTGCTTGCATTCCTCTCAGCTATCTTGGGAGCATCAAAGGCAGAACAGAAAAGCTTAGTGTCATAAAATCAAACCATCATTACCTGCCTACTTCCTGGACTATAATCATGATATTTATATATATGATTGCAACTCATTCTATTTTTCAGCAAGATTTCTATTGAATGATGGGAATGTTTGACATCAAAGACATGGCTCGAATATGCCGCTTAAATCTCAAGCATATAAAATGAGGACTCAGATTGTTGGGGCTAATATGCTGACTCTGTAAACCACTTAGAGAAGGCTGTTAAAGCACTAAGAAACAGTATATAAGTCTAAGTGCTATTGCTATTGCTATCAAATGCTTAATATTTCATACATTTCCTATATTTTATTTAGGCTTTACACAAGAATGATTGTGAGAATTCCAGTATATGAATAACTAAGATAATAAAAAAATAAGCAAAGCAGCAATAAATGCTGGCAGATTGAAAAAAGTTTTCACAAGGACTATGAGCCTATTCTCTTCTTTTTAACTCAATACAATATCCAATTTTTTTCCAGTTCAGGCCCAATCCAGGCCTATAGTTTAACTGAGGTAAAAAGCCAAAAACAAGCGTTAAAAGGCTTATTTTCCATCATCCCATTATCTCAGTTCTCCCTTCTTTTAGTTGCTATTGACACTTTTGAAGCAGTGAACATTCATGAATAATAACCATGTCTAATTTGACATGAATCTGTATGGAAAGTTTGTAGATTTGGGAACTGAGATTTTGAGGTCTTAGTCAAATGAATTAACTAATCATACTGTGTTATTCTGGCATGCATTAAAGTCAGATAACTCCATCTATTTTTAGGAAGCTGATGTTCTCCTCATACTTGGAAAGATTCCTATTAAGAATAACAAAGATTGCTCACAGTTGCAGATTCCCGCCCTTCGCGTGGGAGCATTGCTGTAGTCACAGATGAGTCCCTGGTTCTGATCACAAACAATAAGGTGGTTGCATGACTCCCCTAACCTCCGAGCGCATATGCTGCAACAGCCGCATCCATCCACAACCAAGCGAGACCCAGGTGGACAACGGGGAGGGAGCCATGGACAGTAGCATGGAGTTTGACAGTGCTGGAAGTTCGCCTGGGAGGAGAGAGAATATTATTATAACAAAATGCCAAATTCAATTTATACCTGTTAAAAGGAATATTTTATTTAAGGAACCTTCCATTAGAACAGGGGGTGTCAAACTGAAGGCCCGGGGGCTGGATCCAGCCCATGGGGTGTTTAGAGCTGGCCTGCAGGGCCACCCTGGAAACAGTGGACTGGCCTGTGGTGCCTCTGCCAGCAAAAACTCATTTGATAGGGGAAAGATGTTCTAATGCAGGGATGTCAAACTCAATTTCATTGAGGGCTGCATCAGGGTTGTGTTTGACCTCAGGTGGGCATGGCCAGCTTGATGTCACTCATGTCAGGGGTGCCTGTGGCAGCCCAAGCACTCTGCCAGCGAAAATGGGCTCCCGAGCTCTGTTTTCAGCTGCAACGGCTCCCTGCAACCCTCTGCCAGTGAAAATGGAGGCAGGTACTTAACACCAGAGTTGTCATGTTACAGCAGTTATTGCTGCTAGTGGTAGT